GGCACATCCAGCTCCTGTGTGAGCCTGGGGTGGAGAGCACAGAGCCCCTGCTTGGCAATGATGAGAGCACAGACAAGCAGCAGCCACAGGGAGCACTGCTCCTGCTCCAAAGCAAACTCCTGCTGTGCCAGACTGTTGGCTGAATTTTGTTAGAGTTCTCTTAGCATCCTTTTCCTCCAGCAAACTGACCTCAGCTCCATCAACAGCCCGTTCCTGCAGGCTGGATAACCTGTCAGATGCATCAGGAAGCTCAGTGCTTGGACTATTTTTAACTGTGCCATCCTGTCCTTGTGCCACTCACTGGGAGCTCTAGGCTGATGGATCACTGTTGCTCCCCTTTCAGTCACTGTTTCCAGCTGCAGCCTGCTTGGAGTCTGAAGTTCTGCAGGAATTCATGTTGTCAATCACATCCTGTCCCAGAATTCCTGACTTCACCACCAGAACAGCTTGAGGTCAGTCAGAGCAGGAGCTGCTCTCTGGGAGCAATCCTTGATTCTGCTGTTCTTGCTGAAGGCAACAGGTCAGAGTGAGAGCTGCAGAGAGCATTAACCCTCTGCACCTTTTTTGGGGAGGATTGGAGGCTGTGGCAGCTTGTTCAGCATCCCAGGAGAGCTGCTGTGGAGCAGGGAACCAAAGCCATCTCCTTCCAGCTGCAGGTGAAAATGGGAACTGAGCTTAGCTGCTGCAGGGCAGTGCTGGCTAACCCAGCTACCTGCTGCACTGTTACCAAAACTCTCTAATGAAGGGCAGAGGAGGTGCACACTGAACTGGAGTGTCCACCCTGCTGGGTTTGCTCCTCCTGAAGTGTTTGGTGCAAAGGTGGTGCAGGACTGACACCAGTGTTTGCACTCAGGGTGTGGCAGAGTCCAGCTGAGAGATCTCTGGTTTGTTTTGGCTTCTGCAGTGAGCAAAATAGTGAAAGAGCAGCTGTGGCTTTGCTTTGTTCCAGGAGCTGCTCCAGCTCTCCTACTCCATAACTCTTCCAGCAGTTATCTGCAGGAATTAGTGATAACAGCAGCAGCAGTGCAAGTCCCTTCTGTGCTCATGGATCAGGTGATAAAATTCACTCTTAGAGCAGGTGTGGAGCTACAAGTGACCATCCTTAGCCTCTGTTTTCCTTCTCCAGTCTCAGGCAGCAACATCAGCTCTGAATGCTGCTGGTTCAGTAGCTGGAATTTCAGCCTGCTGCATCTGGCTGGGCTGCTCATCATCCCTGAGGCACAGCTGGAGGGTGATGTTGCTCTGATGCAAAGCTCTTTAACTGGCTGTATTTGAAAATAGATTTGTTTTTCATAGATTAAGGCCATAAATTCTCCTTACCTTTGAAGGATGTCTGGCCATGAAGTTTTCATCACCTAAAATTTCAGGTTTCAGTGTGTTTACAAGGCCTTCTGGAGATGTTTTTGACCTCCCAGCATCTGAGGAAGTTCAGACAGGAGGAATCTACTGGGGGCTGCCATTAGTCCCCCTGTGTCCCTTCCCAAAGAACTGCTTCAAACAGGCACTTGATGGCACATTGCAGTAGAAACACACAATTCTCTCCACTGAAATTAAGGACAAGGATCCTTAATCACCGGCAGGAATTGCTGCTAAGTTCAGTGGTCCAGCTGCCCCTGTAGCCCCTGTACTTCTGTCTGCTGAATGAGGTCCAGCTCAACAACTCAATACTAAAAAACTCCTGCTCAATAACTCAAAAACTGATTTATTTTCAGTCTAGAAGGACCCTACTGGAGCATTTTATTGTTGGTTGTAAAAATTAAGTGATGTTAAGTACAGCAGGCTGTAAAACCCAGGACAACATTTCCTAATGTGCTTCTCAGTTACAAAAGCCAGAGTCTGGCTTGTGTAGATAGCAAGAAAACTGGGCTTTGGGAAAGCTGCAGGATACTGAAACACAGGTGGTGTTTAACTTAGGCATGAACCTTGACATGAACCAGGCTGGCAGCATTCCCAAAAGCCTCTCCTGGAGCCTTGGGCACAGCACACTGAGGTGTGTCCTCCTTCCTGGCACCCTGCTCCTGGCTGGAGCTCAGGGACAGGGGTGACACATGCCTGGAGCTCAGCAGGAGCACACACATCCCAGTGCTCCTCACAGCTGCAGCAGCCAGCTGAGCAGGGCCATCTGGCTCTCCCCTTGCTGCCCAGGGTGGAGCAGAAGGTTCTTGCTCTGGATGTAGGCAGCAGGAATCCTTTCAAAGCCCTGGGAGTGCCCAGCAGGGCTGGCTGCACTACAACCTGTAATCTCCATTAGCTGCTGGCCTGGGGACCAGCAAGGCTGGAAGGCACAGAGCATCTGGAGAATAATCCTGCCCAGTTCCTGAAATAGAGCATGGCTCACCTGTAAAAGATCCTGGCCAGTCATCTGTTATCTTAAATTGGCTGTCTTGTCCTCTTGCAGGTCTCTAAGCGGCCGAGGTGCAGTGAAATTAGATCCATTTTACATAGCATAAATATTTAACAGCTCTAGAGCATGTAGTTTAATATTAAACAGACAGTCTTATAAATACTTCAGAATTATAGATGCTGTCACAGTACATGGAAATTACTTGATAGGATCTAGGAGAAATATTTAGGTTTGACAGGAGAGGAAGTGATGGAGTTAGAGAGAATCAGCCACATTTTTAACTGCTAGAGGAGTTCCTAAAAAAAAACCCAAAAAGTTTCTGTTCTTGAAAGGCAGTTTGGGTGAGTTTCCTCCTCCTCCAGAAATAACAGACTGGTTCCCACCCTATTCTCTTCAAGGAATGAAAACATTCACAATCTTAAAAAAACACTGCAGAGCAAACAGAACAATTTGGGAGCCCATGCTCAGTGATCCATTCAGTGTGGGATTATCATTATTAGAAAGGCAAGTGGTACTTAATGAGGGATTTAGATGCTCTTGAGCCTTGTTATTTTAAGCCCATGTACTACATTTTGCCACCTAAGAGAGTTTAAAATGTATTATTTGTAGATTTGATTTAAGAAAAGTAAACAAAATCCCACCTGACCCATAAACTGAGCCCCACTGTCACTGGTTGTGGCAGTGACCACTGTCTGCAGCTCGGGGCTTCAGAGGGACTGAGGAGGCACTGTCCCAAATTTGGGAACTGTTTCAGTGCTCTCTCCTGTCCACCAGCTTCCTGTGTGGTCCCTGAAAGTCATTTCTCTCCCCAGCAGGTTCACAAGTCACATGCAGTCTAATTTCCCATCAAATCTTCAAAAAACATTTCAGGATTTGCCCCTCCAGGCCTCTGTTCCCATCTGTGAAACAGAGATAAAGCAGAACTTGAGAGAAATGTGTTAAAATAAAAGGGTGGTACATTTTATCCCATGGGAGGCTGGACTGTTATTCAAGCAGCAAAGTTGTGTCTATTTCCAGTTGTGTCAGCAATGCAGGTCCATGATAAAGTCATGGCAAAACTGACTTTATTTTCATAGATTCTGTGTCCTCTAAGAATGTGGAAGGATGTGTCAAGGGACAGGACTTTCAAGCATTATGGCTCACTCAAACCTCTGGAGTTTCAGTGTTCTCTGATAGTTTTGTGACATTCCATAGCTTGCTTCCTACTATTGAAGTTGGCTGTAGCACTCCCAGGTAGTTTTCTCTGGTGTATTCTGCACAATACCAATGTTCAATACAATGTGATTTCCAGTGCACTGGGGTTACCAAGAATGGGACTTGCACGAAGAAACTTGGGTCAGCTCTTCCATTAGAAATATTTCAGTCTATAGCCTGGAAAGGCAGAAAAAGCACAGAGGCTTCTGTGCACCTTGGAGAGCTGTGGGGTTGGTGTGAACTTAAGAGCTGTGGGCTGAACTGGACCAGTTCCTGATGCAGAGGTTTCCTGGAAGGTGTCCCCTGAGTACTGCCTAATTTTTATCCTGGAACATTTGAACCCATTTCAGCAACAAACAGCGTTCTGGGTCAGGGACACAGTGTGGTGAAGACCCACAGCTAAGTTTTAATGTGTCCAAAGGAGTGTGGTGTTTGCTGAGAATTTGTCACCTGGCAGGGCCTCGGGCAGTGGCAGCTCTGTGATGCTCCCTGTGCACTGTCTGAAGGTTTCACTATTGCAGGGAGAAGCTGCCTGTGACAGCAGATTTACAAACCACTGCTGGGGTGGTGGGGTTCATCTGAGGGTCCCTGGGGAGTCCCAGGGTCCCCCTAAGCTGTATGGTCACCGGCAGGCAAGGAGACTCCACACGGCTTCTGAGGGTGATAATTAGATGAGGGTGGTAATTATTGGGGATCCCAGTGTTGTAAGAATCCAGGTGTTCCCACAGAGATCCAAAGGTCTTGGAGTGTGAGGATGCACCCAGGCCCTGCTGTGTGTGTCACTGTCAAAGGCAGTAGCAAGAACAGTGTGGGAGGGGATGGGAGAGGAGCTGCTGCTGAGGAAGGTCAGATTTTCCAGGGCATGTTCTGCAAGGACAAGCAGCAGGGGTGAGGGATGGCCTTGGCAGGACCATTGCTGCTGTCCCTGGTGCCTCAGAGCAGACAGGAGCAATTCCTTGCTGTCCTGCAGGACAGCTCCTGCCTGGTGGCACAGCAGTCCCTGCCACACGCTGCCCATCACCGGGGAGCAGCTGCCTGGAACAGCAGCAGGACTTCAGGAGCTGCAAACTGAAAGACAACTCACTTTTCCTTAACTTCATTTTTATCAGTGATTTACATTTGTGCTGTCAGGCTGAAGGACACCAACAGCCACTGCACAATCTTGTACTGGCTTAGGGAAATCGTAGCTACCTGGATGCCTCTGGGCCCTTCCCAAATCCTTGTCAGTTGGTGCCAGCAGTGTTATTTGGCATGTTCCAGCCATTGTCAGCACTGCTGTCAGGCACCCCTGTGTGACAAGGTTGCAGCTTCATACCATTGTGCAGGACAATTTTTAACGTCCCACTTCTTTGGACACTGTTAAGCAACCAAACCCTGGATTTGCCAGGCTGGTCTGTTATTAGGAACCCATTTCTTTGCTAATTGCAGCTCTCACACAACACTTTTATTTTCTCTCCACCAGGGTGAATCAGCTTGTGATGCCACCAGCCTCTGTGAAAGTCTGAGACGGTGAGTGACCCAAACCAGCTGCAGGTTCCAAGCTACAGCTCTGCTCCAAACCCCTGTCAGCCCATCTCTTTCCTTATCAATTGCAGAGAAGTTTCCTTAGCCAGCTCTGGTTTGCACCTTTGCCACCCTCAGCCCAAAGCAGAGCAAATCAAGACCAGGGGTCAACTCAAGTGTCCTTGGTGGTATCAAGTTGCTTCCAGAACCTGGTGTTCCTTCTTTGAGCAGAAAATCCCATGTTACCCATGTCCCTTGACCCATGTGACTGTCCCAGGCCAGAACTGAAAACCTTTTGGTGTCCACAAAACCTCCTGCTGCCCTCCTCGGGGTCAAACATGGGCTGCTGCCACACCACCACTTCTGGCACAGTCCAGATTTTCTGCAGAAAGTGTTCCCTGGCAGCACCTGACCCTGTCCCCTCTGCAACCCTGGACCCAGGGTGACACCTCTGAGCCAGAGGGAGCAGGGCCTGTCCCCTTCCTGCTGCCCACCCTGTCCTTGTGTTCATGCTGCCCTTATCACTCCCCCACAGCCACAGCGCTGCTGCTTGGAGCTGCCTCAAGGGATAAACACTTCCCAGCATTTTACTGCAGCCAAAATTAATTAAAGCAAGTTTTTTGAAGAGGAGATTTCTTTCCCATAAATTAAATGCATTGAAAGACTAATCAGAAAATCAGAACTCACTAAGACACTTCAGAATGGCCTTTTGAGGGAAAAGATTTCATGCAATCTCTAGCACAGCAGATGTGTTATTTCCACAGAGGGGAGTGGATGTGGGCATGGGGCTGCCTGGAGTTTGCAGGCTCTGGGCTGGATGTGCATTCACACAGTATTATTTAGCAGTAGCTTTTAGATAAAGTTGGAGGGTTTTTTTTAAAAATGCCATAAACAAATCTGGGAAGAAATCCTTGGTGCTGTTGCTGAAACTTGCTTTATAAACCAGTGACTTATAAACCACACTACCTGTGTCCTGGGCACACCAAGGTTTTTCACTACACTTCTCTCTTTTTTGGGCCAGTTTTATACAGCTTGAAAGAAACCAGGGCACCATCAGAGGGGAATTTTTCTATAATGCAGCAGCCACTAATTTTTAAGGTCAGGGGCAATTTCCTGCATAAGCCCTCTCACAGGAAATCCTGCACTGAGAGGACTGGTTATCCTTGCCCCATTGTCTAGGACAGCAGTTGGCTGCTAGAGAGGCCACCCAGTGGTGCCTCAGCAGTGAGCAGAGGTGCTGACACGTCCCTGAAGGCAGCATGGCCACCAGCAGGGCCTGCCCTGCCATGCCAGCAGCACACTGAGCTGGGCTCTGCTGGGGACAGCTGTTTCTAAAATGTCCATTTAAGGCACAAGGCAGCCCCTCTTTAGTAAACTGAGGGGGTCAAAAGCAGTCTGCAAGAGTGGAGCCTGTCCTGTGCTGCCTCAGCCCACAGCAGGAGCAGGTGTGCCTGTACAGCTGCCCTCAGGGACCTCCTGGAGCAGGCTGGGCCAGGGTCACAGTGCCTCTGTTCCCATTCCAGATGGCTTCAGCACATGCCCATGGGCAGGCTTTGCCAACCCCCTGCTTGCACAGACACAGGGGTCTCTGTCATGGTTTGACAGAGTGCAATGCCAGTGCACCCATGAAAACATATTCTCCCTAATGTCTGCTGTGAGATGTGACCAGAAATTGAGCAAAGCAGGCTCCAGCTTAGGAATAAAGGAAAGAACTTTATTAACTTCCAATATGAAAGAGGTCTGAACTCTTTCATGGACCAGAACCAAGAGGGAGTTCCCCTGGGCGTTCTCTGCTTTTAACCCCCTGTGTTCTCAGGGGTGTATCCATGTCCTCAGTGGCCACACCAGGTGCCAATATTCAGTTCTGAGCACCCATTGGTTTGACCACAGCCTCCAACAAAACTCACTTCCTTTTCAAACCAGGGCAGTCTCTTAGCTGGCCCCACCAGCCCAGCAGCCATCCATCCCTGGAGCTCCCCAGTAACACCTTCTGTTCCCTGTTTGCAGCTGCCAGTGAAGGCCAGGACACGTGGACTCCTGCTCCCACCACACCGATCTCAAGCTGGAAGCCCTCCTGTGCTGGGTATCAGTGGATCCTTCAGCTCCACATCACAGAGGGGGCCTCCACACCAGATCCATCCCTCTCCCCAGCCTGCAGGGTCAGGCACCAGGAGATGAGCAGGGCAGTGGGAACGTGGCAACTTCTGGAACGGGAGGACATTCAGAGGGTCCCCTGAGCATGGAAACCAACTGTCCACTGAGCCAGAAAAAGCTGCCCAAGTGAGCAACTGTAGATTGTGTACATGGTGTTAGTTGTAGGCAATGAAGTCCACATTGTTTGTAGGGCAGCTGGTGTCCTATGGAATGCTGCTGCTCTGCCAGCACTCCCACTCCCACAGACTGCACTAGTTGAGGACCTGTTCTGTACATCACCTTTTCTTTGACACTGAAGGCTTGATTCAGATTATTATTTTTTATTTAAATATGTTATAAGATGCTTTATCTCTGCTGGAGACATTAGATGAGATATATATATATATATACTTAGATAAATTTTTTATTTAAACATTTGAAATCTGGAGCTGCCTGTGCAACCACAGCAGACATGAATAACGTCCATAGCTCTCCTCCTCTCTCAGTGCTCTGGTGCCAGGGCTGCAAGGGCACCACAGGAAAACTTCCAGTGGCTGCCCCACCTGTCACTGAGGCTGAGCAATGGGACAGAGGAGAGAGTTCACTGCACTGGGTATGCTGGTGGTTGTCACAGAAAGGCCCAGAAGAACGTTGGACAGAAATCCCTACAGGCTCTAAGAGTTTTCCATATGCTAAATTCAGCCTTCCTAGGAGGTTCACAGGCTTTTAAAATACCAAAATCCACCTGGCTGAATGGCTGCACCTTGGGCCTGGGAGTGCAATACTGCTGTGACCTCGTGCTTTGTTTACATGATACCATATCAGACTGTCAATGCTAATTCTCCCTGCAAGAGCCCAGAGCAGGTGGCTGGCACTGCCTTCAGAGCAGTGCTTGGGCTCCTGCACACCCAGCCTGAGCTGGCACTGGGGTGTTCTTGTACCTTTACAAAGGTGCCTTGAGAGCTGTCAGACAAGGCCAGTGCCTGAACTGGGTGAGACTCGAATGCAGAGGCTGCCATGGTGCCATTCCACTGGAGTCTTGTTTGCTGGACCTCCACAGGCCAAAGCTGTGCTGTGTCAGCTGCATGGGGGAGGAAGGAAGGGGAGCACAGGTCCTCAAGAGGGCCAGGCTGCCCCATGAAGGGCACTTGGGCTCCTAGGAGGAATAAATCAGCTCAGGAAATGTCAGAGCAGAACTAGGTGTGAGTCAAGGCTGGAGCTGCTGTCCTGGCTGTGCCATAAGATTTCTCAGGCACAGCAGGGTACTGTTGGTAAATCTGGGTTTATCTCCCATCCCCTGCCAGGATGTGCTGGGACCTACAGCACAGCCCTGCAGCACAGATGGTTCTAGTGCCAGGTGCTCACCCCAAGGCAAATCCCTGCCCAGGTTGGGGATTCCTGTAATCCCCTGAGCCTTCCCTCCTCCCCAGAGCTCACAGGACTCCTCTGCAAGGGTTCTGTCACCTGAAATTCCTTAACAATAGCTCTAAGAGTTGGCTAAAGAACCAGAGCCAGGAGTGTTCCTCTAGTGCCTGAGCAAGCAGGTGCTAGAAATAACAAAGCAAAGCAAATCCCAGCAGTGCTTCACTTCCTACCTCGTGCCACTATTTACACTCAGAGGGGAAACACAGCAGCTGTAGTCTGGGAGCCAAACACTTGGCTTTAAAGGCACATGAATTTCTGATTCCCATTAAGAAATTCCTTTGTAAGCTGTTTAAAAGGAAACAAAAAGCAACCCAACAATCAGTCATTTCATCTCAGAGACCAAAGAAGATTAACCACATTTTCTAAATTGCTTTTCTGATAGGCTCTCTGTTGTAGCATTTATTGTCAACAAAATGGAACATTTCTGCTAAGGGTCAGAGATTAGGAATTCTCCTTAAACTTAATTCTCAGGAGTCAGCAATGAAAAGGGAACTGAAGTGTTCTGTAGTGTCACTGGCAATCCTTGTTTGTGACAGGCTCCAGTCCCTGCCAGAGCTCAGTGCTGGTTTTATCCTTTGTGCACCTGAAGGAAATGCTCTGGATTCTGTTTAAACAAGGACAGAGGGAAGGGAGCAAACAAAGGAGTGAGAAATGAGTCCTACCTTCACCAAGGGGTCCCTGAATCCCTGCTCCCACTTGTTCCAGGCTAAGAGAGGGAGGCTCAGGCTTCTTCAGATCCTTGCTGCATTCAGTGGGGTCTGTGCAAGTGTCCAGAGGCACCAGGGAGGCTCCAGCTGCCCCTCAGTTAATCACGAGGGTTTCCTTCTACTCCACTCTATAAAGGGGATTTTTTTAAAGCATGAACTCCCCCCAGCTGATCCTGCACTGGCAGTCAGGTGGTTTGTACAGTGTGGGACACTGAGGCAATGGCACCTGCCCAAAGAAGCAAGAGAATGACCCAGAAGGCAGCAAGTGCCACCCCAAGGGGCTCCTGCTGGAGCAGGTCTGGGTGGCCCCAAGAGCCTCTCCCCTTAGGTCAGGGTGACTGAACCCCAGAAATGTCTGGCTGTGCTCTGGGAAGCAGAGCTCTCCCAAGCTCCACCCCAAATGCTTCTTCTCTTCTCCATTGGCTTTATTGTCTGGCAAACCAGCACTTACAATCACTTTTACTACGTGATGTATGGGAGTATTAGCACATTTTCTTGTTATACAAGGGAGGAGTATAAAATAGTTTTCTGATTTCTTTCAGAAGCAAATTACTATTTTATTTTTTAAGAGCAATTGATTGTGAATCTCAGAGTATAAAAAAAAAGATAAGCCAAATATATACCTTTATGTAAATTAAGAAATAAAAGTATTTAAAATGTACCCCCTGGCTCCTTTTCTTGTGTCACCTCTTGGCTGTGCACTCCTGTAGTCCCTGGGATGAGGATGCTCCAAACTCCAGCAGCCACAGGGCTGCCAAGAACTTCCCTGGACACCAGCCTGGCTCGAGATTGTGGAGAAGTAACAGCAGGAGCAGGGAAGGTGGTGGATTTCAGCTCCCATTCCCCAGAGCTGGGGGAAGGAGTCAGTGTGGGCCTGCCCGAGGTGGGGCTGCTCCAGCCCCATTCAGGCCCTCACAGCACAGCAGAGGAGCTTGGCTGATGGGAATGGCTCAGTGCTCATGGGCTGGGTGCTCAGGAAGGCAGGAAATGATTCCCAGTGGTTCCACAGTGGGCATCAAGGCTGCCCCTCTCCAGTGATCCCACAGCAGCCATGGCCACCAAACTCACAGGATAAAGGAGAGAAGGGGCTGGTCCTGCTGCATCAGAGCCCTGCAGCTCAGCCTTGGCTGCTGGGACACTCAGACAAAGGGGCCTGAGGCTCCCCTGACCAGCTGGGAGAGACCCCCCACAGCAGGGCCTTCCTTCAGAGCCTCCCCCAGCACAGGGCACTGTGCACACCAGGAAACCACAAAAGCAAAGGCTCTGTCACTTCAAACACCCATCCCTGATGGCCTTTTGTCAGTGCCTCTCGGGGCTTTCAGCTTCATCATTCTTGTAAATTACTTGATTAAGAATCATTTTCCAAATTCTGATGTTCCAGCAGATAGACAGACAAGCTTTGAAGCTCAGCAGCTTTAGCTTCCATCCATCAACTACTGCTAAGAGTGTGCTGTGCACACTGGGTTTGGATCAGGGCCATACCCCTGTGTGTGTGTGTGTGTTATGTGTGTGTGTGTTATGTGTGTGTGTGTGTGTGTGTGTGTGTGTGTGTTATGTGTTATGTGTGTGTATTTGTGTGTGTATTTGTGTGTGTTATGCGTGTGTGTGTTATTTATGTGTGTGTTATGTGTGTGTGTGTTATGTGTTATGTGTGTGCCCCCACACATTTGCTCCCTCCCCATCCCTGCTTCACAAACCCTCCCAAACCCCTCAGTGCCTGTAGAGCTCTCACAGGGCCACCCATGCTGTGACAAACAGCAGCCCCATGGGCTGCCCTGACCCTCTCCTGAGCTGTCTGTGTGCTCTGTGTGCTGCAGGGCCCTGGTGTCACTGGTGCATGTACAATTATCACTCTGTACAGAGAGGTGCTGATTGCATGGCAACCTCTCCTGAGCAACTCCAACACTGCACCCATTGCCCAGAGTCCCTGGCAAAATCTCTCTGGATATTACATCAGAAATCATAGAATCTTGGAATGGGCTGGAAGGACCATAAAGACCAGTTAATTCCATCCCCCTACCATGGACAGGGACACCTTTCCCTGTCCCAGGCTGCTCCAAGCCCTGCCCAGCCTGGCCTTGGACACTTGCAGGGATGGGGCAGCCCCAGCTGCTCTGGGCACCTGTGCCAGGGCCTGCCCACCCTCACAGGACTCCCTGGATTTATCCCATGGCTTTGGCCATTCTCCAGCACTGCACCCTCCCCTGAGCTCAGTGCCCAGGGCCTGGCACTGTTCTCCTGCACCCAGAAGAGCCACAGAGCTCTGAGCCCAGGACAGCTGAGAAGAAAAGGCTTCATTAAATCAGAGCATGCTCAGCCATCTAAGGCCTAATGGTCAAGCCACAGACAGGATCTGAAATCAAGTAAAACAAAACCTTTGTGATTATTAAAAAGCCCAAATAAGAGCTGGTGAAGCACAATTTGACTTGTTGGATTAGTGACTGCATTCTATAAGCAGTGCATCAAAGCCAGCCCAGAATCAGGGAATTTCACTGGCAGAAGAGGGCACCATGACTTGCACTGTGCCCTGCAGCTCTCCTGTCCCTTTTCCCCTTGCCCACTCTGCCAGTCCTGGAGGCTGAGCACACCCATGAACACAGAAAGCAGAGGCCAGCCAGGCTGACAGCTGGCACTGCCCAGTGTCCATCCCTGTGTCAGGAACAGCAGCTGGCACCGCTCTGGCCTCGTGCTCTGCCCTTCCCACGGTGACAGTGACAGTGACAAACTGATCCACACGAGCTCCTCACTGCAGTGGCCCTGCCAGGAATCCCAGAGAGCTCAGCCAGGCCCTGTGGCCTCAGTGTGG